TAGACTATATGTTTTTACTGCTCCAAAACAGCTAATCCGTTTGTTATCGTATCGATAACGCCGTAACTTTTTTTTTACATATACTAGAGCGTTTTGTATTGTAAGCGCATGATTCAGCATTGCAATGATTTATCCCTGCTCAAAGGGTCCGATAAATAGCAATATCATTTGAGGAGGCCCTGGTAAGAAGAAAGAGACTCGGACTTGTCACGAGGGCGGTGAGTGGGTCATCTTCGAGTCAACCAGGAAACCCGAAAAAATAATATGCATAAAAATGAATCCTAATTTTTTAATTTAATTATTAATTCTTACCCCTCAATTCATTTTTGAATTTATTACAATTCATTCATAAATTGCTAAGGTACATGCCAACAAAGTCCACAGGGTCGCTTGCTACCAGCCATTTACAATACAGGCTGCCGGCCACGTCCAAACCTACCATACATCCATTCAGAATTCAATCTACAGTCTTCTGGGCACCCCTCTACCGCTACAGTGCCCTCTCTGCCCATCATGGTCCTAACGAGCAGCCAAATTTGCTCAATGCTCTTCACTGAGGTTGGTGACGGCTTCTACAACTGCACGACCTGCGGCAAGCAGTACAAGAAGGGCAACGGCTACACGAATCTACTAAACCACCTACGACACAACCACGAGGACTATGAGCAAGAAGCCCAAGAAGCTGCGCGCCGCCAGAATTCCCTAAACCTTTGCCTAGTCAGCCAACGTACGCGGGATCTACACCGTTGGCTCGAATGGGTGATTTGTGAGCGCCTCCCGTTTGCATTTGTGGAGCGAAGGCTCACCCGGCTGAATGTGGCACTTTCTACCGTGTCAGAGGACACGCTACTCCGCTATATAGTATTGCTGTTCGAGGTAGTTGAGGGCCGTGTAGCCAGTGAGCTACCCGAATCATTTGGTCTCGTATTGGACGGCTGGACAAGCAGCAACCGTCACTACGTTGCAATCTTTGCGGTATTTGACAGTGCCACCGGTAATACCGGTAAAACCGGTAGCAGCGCGGCCAGTGAGTACTACGAGGACTTGGAGTGTTTATCTCGTCGCTTCGTGCTGCTAGCTTTCTCGCCCGTAGAGACGGAGGAAGATCTTAGCGCACAGAGCCAGTACGACCTAATCGCTGATACGCTGTCGCGATACAACAAGCCCTGGAGCGCAGTGAAGTTCATGGTCGGCGATAACTGCTCCGTTAACCAGTACATTGGCCGGAAGGAGGGTGCTATACCGCTAATCGGATGCGCTAGCCAGCGCTTTAATTTAGCGGTCAAGGACTTCCTCAAGTACGAAGACGAGTTGATAACCAAGGTCCATACCTTGATGTCCAAGCTGCGTACGATCAAAGGTAGAGCCAATCTTCGCCGCGTCTCCCATCTGTCTCCTCTGCTGAGGAACGACACCAGATGGTCGAGCACGTACGAGATGGTAGAGCGCTACGCCAAACTCCAGCCGGCAATTGTTCAGCTGGGCCTCAATGTCCTCGTGGAGCATGATGTGCAACCTCTCCTACTACGGCGTGCGGAGCACGAGCGCGTCAAGGCGCTTCTTAAAGATTTAGCAGCTTTTGAAGCCGTTACCAAGGAGCTGCAGAAGTCTACGCTAACTTTGTCCGCTTCGCGACGTCTTTTTGACCAGGTTGTGAAGGAATACCCAGCCCTACAGCCTCGGCTGTCAGCAACGGCATCTATAGTGAACAACCCCAATTTAGAGCAAGGTCTATTCAAGTTACAGCGTGGGGAGGCGCTAAACGTCGCGGAAAAATTAGCCTGCGCTGAATTTAGGTCCCCTGATCTCGAACGCTTCAAGAGTCGCCGAGGAGTGCTCTATTGTGAGAGCAGCGTTCAAGAAACGCAAGGTCGTGAAGCGCTCGCACTACGTTGACGTCGCGTACATCCCGCCAACGTCTAACGAGTGTGAGCGCTTCTTCTCTCTTGCTAATCTGGTGCTGTCTGATCTACGGAAGCGAATGTCTCCAGCCAGGCTTGAGATGATAATGTTTCTGAACTACAATCGCGACTTGTGGGACCTGAGTGCGGTGGACAAGGTACGCTCGAGTATGGGCCGGGATAATGCAAATAATTGAATTATTAATTTTCTCAGCTCACATCGATGTATTAATCTTAGTATTGCATTTTCGGGTTCCCTGGAGTCAACTGCCCAAACCGGTAGTTATAAGAGTCTGACCGCCCTGTAATATCTGAGTTTAAGAGGTGGGAGAACAAGAGTGGTAGTAAATAATGGCTAGCGCACCGGAAAGAGCTCGAGTGGTCTTTGTTGTCTTGTGCGTTTCAGATATGCTGCTACATCTGTTAAGAACCCTGCTGGTACTGAGACGGAGTGGGTCCTGGATTTAGCGAGCGAAGTGCATGTATGCAACAACCTTTACAGAACCGATAAGTTTGACAGACCTCTACATCTTTTGCGCTGTCCACGCGCTCCGCTCACTGCTCGGGCTTAGCCTTCCACTCGCATTGGTGTTATACTTTTTATTGCACTTATTTAGCGTACCCTTTCCAGTTCTCGAGGCAAAGATTGCTTATCTTTCGACAAATAGAAGGCAATACTACTGAACCGGCTGCGTGACCGAATTAATACGATTTGGCTAAAAAAAAATATTTTTTAATTCCAAGACCTTGCCTATTATAATGCGACAAGCATTGGAAGTCGACGAGGAGCTATTGAAGCAGCAGCTACGCCAGGAACAGAAGACATGGTATACTCCCTAGCACCGCACTAACTCTTTACCAGTCTCTTAACCGACTGCGCTGCCTTATAGGGAAGCCGATCAGCTCGCCGCAGGCCACTTCCAACTACACATCTGGAGCGTCGGGAGGTTGCTGCGCGTGGTACAAGCCTCGCAGTCAGCCACAAACGCTGAAGAAGCTCTAGCTCAGTATGGACTTATTCGCCATTCAGCTGGTAGCGTCGATCAGCGCCGCGCCACATCTCAACCCACAACAGCGGAGACGCAGCACGCACCGTCCGCGGACGCAGTAACGTACTCGTCAAGTCGCGTCTGGATCACGGGGTTTCTACGTTTTGGAGAAGATTTAGATACTTGTGACATACTAGAATTGTGTGATAGCAACACCAAGCTGCCTAGTTTCCTTTTAGACCCAAGTCCTCAACTAGTGGCTCAATTGGTGCTGGTCAAGCATTGGGTGCTGGTGGACAAGGCATTCGGCGGAGCACGAACTGCAAGCTCAATATTTCTCGAAGTGCATGATGAGAAACCAACAGTATTAACACCAGTAGATGATCCGTACGTGAGTTGGACACCGAAAGATGTGCTACAAGTGCTAGAAACCCACTACCAAACTAAAGACCCGCCGATGTACACGGACACGGAGCGATGGTCTCTAATTGCACAAGATAAAGTAGCTAGCGATGGACAGAGGACGAACCATAAGCGTATTCATGCGGCTTTTGGTCGTGTGACGAGTGTGAGTCCCATTTCACGTCAAAAGGACCATGCCAGCAGTCACTTTTTCGTTGAGATCGAGGCTCACCGAAGCTGCAGTGAGATATCAACGCAGAGTGTCGTCACCGTCATGTTTACTGGGCTCGAAGACATGCGCTGGAATGTGTTTCTCCGCCCTGGAAAAGTGGTGTTACTGACTGATCTGGTGAAGGTTCACTCGCGTGAGTGTGCCATGTTTCTGCTTCAAGCGACGCACCGACAAACGTCAAGTCGGTCTGATGCAGAAGCTCTGGAAACGTTAGTTCTGATCTGGAATGAGCCCTCATCTCCTGACAACAACGTCATGAAGATGATAAGCGAGTCACTAACTACGTTCTCGAAAGAATGGGTTGCTCGCTGCAATGGCAGGATATTAGATTTTGAAGGTCAAGTGTGTCGACTACTTTGGGATGAGTGTATTGAGCTCCAAGGACCACAAGATGGTCGCGTTATTGTGTGTCTTTTACACTTTCCGTACACACACGAGCTGGTTCGCCTTCGCAAGGGCGCTACGATTAGAGTGAGTGCTGCCCACGTTCTCCGTTGGCCGACACCTGTAGGTGGCAATCTGGTGCTGGGGCTATGTCCTCGGAGTCATCTCGCAGTTACTAGCTACAGTAACCCAAGTGAACATTGCATTGCTATTGGAACGCGATCTCGACGAGGCAAAACGCACAAGAAATGGTCAAGTTTGGGAGATTTCCATCGTCAATCTATGGTGTTGTCTATGTGGCTGTTGGAGGTTCTGGAGCTACTGGATTCCAAGTTTTTCTTCGGTGGAGACGAAGAGATTCACGTTAAATTATCACAGTTATCGTTCCCACGCACTCGACGACGACAGGCAGTTTCTATTGTAGCTCAGAAACTTGGTTTCTCGCCGGAAAACAGTCGTGATGAAGTCGCCACGACACTCGGGGCTCTGTTTCTAAAGTGCCACACTCCTAGTGCTGGAAACTGCACAACGGTAGCGCTACCACTTCGAGAAAAACTATTGACATGCAGCCGAGTCGTGACGATCCGGGAACTTCAAAGACTGGGCGAAAGCAGGATGATTGGGTCGAGTTCTGACGCGACAGATGGAATCCTGTCTATTCGTATTCCAGCTGAGGATCTTGACTGGTGTCTGCTGCTTGGAGGCATTCGAGGGGGTATTGGGAGTGGGAACCTGGACGTTTACGACCGTACGGGCTCAATCTCCTTGTGTTTGGACAATAGTGAGACGGATATGAGTCTTACAAATGCACATGGCGTGTATTTACTCCGCAATTTTGATATTGTGATCGAGGACTACAATCAAGATCAAGAACTTGAACAGGAGAGATTGCCACTCGTATTTTGCGTCAGTTGTTCGCCAAAAAATGTGCAGTTTGTCAGTATCCGCGACGATGACAGTATCAGCTTTTCACCTGAAGAAAAAGTTGCTGTGGAGTCACAGCAAATGCAGCAGTTGCCGGAGATATCTCAAGTATGCGACTTACTCCTTCATCCACTTCTAAACCACTCGCAACAGACTGAAGAGCGGCCCATGGCAAGGACTGTAAACCCGGATCTGCACAAACCGCACTTGATATCAATTCTTGGAGTTCTCACGAAGAAAAAGTACTATTGGCGCTCTAACGGCCAACAAGGAGTCAAGCGTGTCCGACAAGGTGATAGCATTACTCAAACCTCCAGCCGGAAGTTAGCTTGTATCCTCTATGTTCGCGATCTCCAACACCCGGATACTATTGAGATTCGAGTGGACACGTCGCTCTTCGGTTTGCTAGGCGCGTTGCAGGTGAATTGTGTCGTGGAGCTCACTCGCCTCCAAGGGTTTATAGCTCGCTCAAGCTTCAAGGTTTATCTAAGTTGGATTCACCTTACTGCAGCACGAATTGTACCGACTTTGTCGGTGCCACGAGACGCGCAACTTTTCGGTTTGATGTCGACCAAGCTCCTAAACGACCTGTACTATTCTGCAAATGTTGACCGAATGTTGCATCGATTTGTGGTTGGCGTGGTGCACATAAGTTACGTCGTGCTAAAGCGAAAATGTGGCTTGTGTCATCAGGCATTGGAGTTCAATAAGCGTCGCGCGGTCTGGAAACATACAGAGCAAACGCAAGCGAAATATTCGCGAGTTTGTGTGCGAAAGTGGCAGCAAATAACTTCATCTGATTCTGTGTTCAAGACGCATACATATATGGGTGCAACAGTGCGTTGTGTCATTGACGACGGCTCTGGCCAGGCTGAGTTATTTGCGCAGAATGATGTTGCGTGGGAGTTGCTTACGTGCACTGCCGGTCAACGTCAACGGTTTGAGGATATTCTTAGCAACTACGTCGAGGAACTGAGTTATTTCTCCGGACGCACAGCGAACGGATCATTTGCGACTAGCAAAGCGGAGCGCGAGCAGGAATACTACCAAAACGAACTGCGATCCTTCGTTTTGGAGGCCATTCCGTCGCTGAGATCAATCGTGGTTTTTGCTCAACGATTCTATAAGGCAAATGAAAAAGAAGGGACGTCTGTGCTGACGTTCGGCAAGGATATCCACCTCACGACCAAGACAGTGCCGCAGCCGAAGCTGGAGGCCAAGCGCGTGGACCGACTGCACGTTCGCAATGAGCTGCGGCAGCGTCTAGATCAGCTACGACAGCGAGCCCAATGCTTGAAAATTAAATGAGAACCATATAACCGAGTACTGTAGTGCAACACATTCCCGATCAATACCACTATGAGCAAATCTGATAATTTATTTTTTGCGTCTATCGAATGGTGCAAATCGCAAGAAATGTGCTTATACTGTAGCGACTTTCGTGGCTTGAACGAAAGCACAGCTTGGTTAATTATGCGAATGCTTCTTGTAAAGTTTGTCTTGTGAGCTCCGTCATTTTTTATCATGCTTTTGCCAAAATCAAAACATGTTCAAAAATAAACAATAACGGGAGACTCCGCTTTGCTTTACACTGCTGTCAGTATGGATTGGCAATTGACAAAAAAATCGAAAACGCGCGTGAAATTTTTCATTTGCGCCTTGCAACTAGGGGCTCCGATACTCCCGCTCAGCCACTTGACTCCTGATCCGTTTTGCTTTTCAGCACAGTGACGGCAAAATCAGCGCGACTGATAAATTATCAGATTCTTCTCATTTTGCCGCTCACACTGATTGGTTCATTTCGTAGCACCGGCAACCTTTGACACAGAAAAGGTAATCCGCACCCAACTACCAGATCGGAAAGGCCTCCAGTCGACACGTTTGTCACGGCAACAAGCCATGGCGTCCATGCAGGTCACCGACGAGCCCAAGAAGCCCAGCTCCATACGCGCAAGGAAGACAACGCCGCGCTCTCGACCAAAGAAGATGGAGAAGGAGAAGAAGGCGTCAACTCCGCGACGTCGCGCGAGTCCTCGAGCCCGAAAGGCAGTGGACTCTGAGCATGAGAAGGAGAAACAACAAGATAAAGCAGCAGTGGAGCCGCCTCCACCTCCTGTTCCTACCGCTAAAGAGGAGCGACAACAGCAACAGAAGCCGCAGACGACAGAGGACAAATCGGAGGGCGGAAAGCAAGAAGAAACGGAAACTAAAGACGAGCCGGAGTTGCCGCCTAGTCAGGACACGCAACTCCGACGGGATTACCTACAGAGAATGTGAGGAGGTTTCCTTGTGTATTGTCGTCGTACTTGCACGAGTGCTAACTGCATTTTTTTTCATTTTATTGTTGCAGTTACCGTCAATTGCAGAGCACACATCCAAACCAGGACGACGCAATGATCCGCCAAATTGCAACAAGCGTGGAGATGGAAACGTGTCAAAAGGCAACAACCCGGGTAACTATTTTTTCCATTGATGACACTTTTTTTTCTTTTTTGGAATGATTTTTTTTTAAATGTAACGTTTTTTTTTGTTATTTTGTGTTGCATTGTATTATAGAGTCACTACGTTGCAGCAATGGAGCACGAGATCCACAAGCTTATGCAGTTTGAAATGGAGCAGGCAAACACGTCTGTGTACGCGAATGACACTCCAGGACTTGGGAATATGCAAACCAACACTCAAGCGCAGTCTAGTGCGTCTGGAGAAATGCAAGGTGGCTACTCTCAACATCAAATATCACAGTCCAGAAGCTACGAGTACGCTCAGGCACTTGCCAAGGCGCAGGAGCAAGAACAAGCTCACAGTTTCGGTAGATCTTCGTCATTCTCGACTCCACGCCAGTCGATGAATGCCGCAGATACGTCGTTCCAGTCACTCATGGAGAATCAGAACATGACAAGTGGCATGCAACACGGCACACCGCATCGAGCTATGAGTATGCAGAACCTGCAACACATGGGGAGTCCATTTTACTCCACAGCGTCGATGACGCCTCCCACTTCTCGGAGTTTCTCGGTTCAGAGCAGCGTCAACGAGATGACAAGTCACGCCACGCCACGGAACATGATGGAGGCGCACCAGCAACTTGGCAACTCGTATATGCAACAGCAGCACGTGCAACAACCTCGCACGTCATCGCGAGCTCTGACGTATCAGGAATTCTCAGCCCAGATCCAGCACTTGGACAAGTCAGTACTCATAGAGTTACTGTGGAATCAGAGAGGTGCCTTGGCTCGATGGCAGAATCAGTCAAAGCAGTTGGAAGTTCAGCTTACTGCACTACGCAATGCCTCTAGCAACGTGGACAGTCCAGGATTTAACTCTCCGTACAACGGCCGCGCCGGGTCTTTTGTTAGTCCCAATGTCGCGGCGGACGCGGAGTTGCAGAGAGCTCGAGGGCGCAGCAAGTCTCGGATGCCACAGCAGCAAATGCCGTCGTATCCCTATGGCCAACAGGCCAATGATAGCTACGATTGGGGAGAGAACCCACAGCTATACTGGGACCGGGTCCGAGCGCTGAAAGCTGCAAACGAAGACAAATTGCACACAGCTCAGCGAGCGTTAGCTCACAACACGGCGCCCCCGAACTCCGTGTACAGTGCCAAAGCCCAGTCGATGATACAGAATATTGGCCTGGTGTTGAGCATCCTGAACGAGCAACCTAGCAACGCCCAGCCACGCAAGTTGGAAGTGCTCAACTCGATTGAGCGCTTCATGCAAGTGTCTGTGATTCCGATCGTTCAGAAGGTATTGTCAAGCGCACAGGTGGCCACGGCGTCTCGGACTCCGGTGACGTCAAGCGCTGCCAGCTATCCCCTCGGCCAGTCAAATGTCCGAGACAACACTATTGGGACAACGCCGCTCTTTAGTGAAGCAAACCACTTTCCCGAGGTCGAAGCAAAGACCCCGACAATGAAACAAATGATGGAGGGGTTGACAGCAGTCGGAAACAGCCCACACGACGCAGCAGAACACGAGAGAAAAGTGTCCGACTGCTCTATCCAAAGTCGGGTGTGTGAGGCTCCAACGATGACTCCAAAAGGGTTATCGTCTTCCTCTTTGCCCGCGATCGAGTCTCGTCCGTCGACTATCCCCGAAACGCGTCTCCCCAGCTTGAGTCCCAATACTCGAGATAGTAAAAGTAGCAAAGTGATGGAAGGCAGCGTAGATGATGCGTTGAACGAGTTCTCCGAGCTGGCCGGAATGGACTTTGACGACCCCGTAGTGGAAAGCAGCATGCTTGCCAAAGAGAACAACCCGTCCAATGTCGTGAGAAAGCGTGGAATCGAAGATGTGTGAGTGAAGCCACACCCGTCAAGCACCGTGTGGTCGCCTTTCAAGAAGAAAAGGTTGAAAGCGCGGTACATTTTGCCAACCAATCATGCAACTTTTGTTGCATGCTGCAAAATTGTTGCAGTTAAACGTCAGCAGTGCTTTTTTTTTAGTGTTTTTGAAGTGTTTGTTTTACTTTTTATTCTTTTTTTCTTAAATATTTTCGGCACTGAGGAATAGATGAATGTTGCTTGCTATTCATAGCCCTAGCGAGCGAAACCCAGTGCAAGGTTGACGTGATGTGCTTGACTCAAAATATACCTCGCTCGGTCACCGACAGCAGCGTTGCGGCCGCCAGGGAAAATGGCACTGGGCAGGTCGTTCCAAGAGCGGTAGTTGATGTCGACTTGCATGCCTGGTTTCTTCTCGGCTGCAGTGTTAAGCTCCGTGGCAAGGAAATACCGAGTTGCCGACGCCACCGAGTTTTTTGCCAGTTCCTCTTGGCTGTTCTTGGTGATGACAGGAGATCGAGCGGAATGTCTCCGATCACCTCGACGAGGCTGTGGCGTTGGGGGGACGTTGACAGTGTAACCAATAAAGAAATAGCCGACCACTGCGTCGCTCTCGTCTGTTTCATGACCTTGAGCACGCACGAGGTCAGGTAAAGGATGAAGTGCCGAGATGGACGGCGTGTGTTGCAACGTCTCGACTAGTTTCCGTGTTCGACTGGCAACAAAGCTGGACCACTCGGCCAAAGCTTCCTCGTTTGGCGCACGCAACTCGATAGCCACATGGTGGTCGTATCGAACAAGCACCTCGGTAGGTGTGAAGAGCTGATTCCAAGACGAGGGGTGACTGAGACTACGACGACGTAGATCGTCCATGATGCGTTGGCCACGAGCAAACTCCTCGCGTAGCACACGCAACGTGGAAATGTTGACGTTCACTGCAGTATTGACAGCAGGGAAGCCCGGCGTGATGATCGGCATGAGGTGTGCTCGGTCGTGGATGTTGTGTTGCGGATCCCATTGAACCTCCTGGTCAGTTTTGCCGCCGTTGGACGGATGTGCCACTAGAATGGGGGTAGGCCATCGCCATGTTGCCAATACCGAGAAAAACCGGTGAACAAGCGACGCCACACTTGCCCGAGGAAACATTTGACACACAAAACACACGAGGATTGCCCATGAAATACCTCCGAGGAAACCGGCCTTGTTGGAGTAGAGACCGCGACGTCTCGCCCAGAGGCGAATGACACGCAGACAAGATCGATACACACTGGCGTTTGGTACCAGCTCGAGGATAAGCGAAGCCACACGAGCAACAGACAGCGAACGGACGGAAGTTGCGTCCATTCCACGCATCACTTGCATGTCGTCTCCTGGCAGGAACGGCAAGTGCTTGGGCACGGCCTGCTGCTGTGCGTACCGAGCGAATAGCAAGTCTATCCGGACAGAGTTTAACTGGAACGATAGCACAGGGACGGCGGCTTTACGGCGAGCAACAAGGTCCGAGACGGATGATTCCTGTCCGAGGTGTTCGCACAACGAGCTGAAGAAGATTTCCGCAGTTACCGTGTGTGGCATGAAGGCCACAACGTCGAGGTCTGATTCGGCGTTTCCTACCTTGAGGTGCCAACTGCCACCCAGCAACAGTGTTGCAGTTTCAGTTGACTTGGTTTCACTATCAGTTGCCAATTTGTCGAGTGTGCGACGGAGCCAAATATCCACAACTCGTTGCAACTCGTTAATTGCCAAATGTTTGGCACTCATTTGCTCCGCGGTTGGCATTGGCGCAATTGCGTTGACACATTTCGTAAGACCATTGGTACTGCGCAGATCGTATTCGGTAGGGGGGACCAGCTCCGCCGGGACCACAATAGGCATGACTCGACGCAGTCCGTATGCAGCAGTTCGCAGCGTCTTCAAGTAGTTCTCCTGATCTTTCATCCTGTACTTCGACGGGGATCCGCTCGGTAGCGGTGGCTGTGTCTTGTGCTCGCTCCTCCAATTGTTTTGACAGGCCTCGAGTGCGAGCTGCAAAGGCTCTGTCACCGCCTTATTGGAGACGGGCGAGGGGCTACCCGAGCCGCTGCTGGAGATGGAGCCGTCGTCGCTGCAGTCGTCGTCGTCCCAGATGTCGCGGCTGGAGCAGCTCGTTCGGCCTCCAGAGGACGTGTCACTTTCCTTCTTGTGTGTGTCTAGCAACGCGAGTGTGCTCACTTGGAGCTGTTGTGGTTTGCTCAGCCCCTGCTTGAGCTTCTGTGTGCGCTCGGCGTCTCCCCAGCATAAACAACTCATCTCGACTCGTTGCAATGTGTCCGTTAACAACAGTAAGGTCGAATGAGGCCGATCCGATTCCGATGCACGCACTGCCCACGTTCGCAATGTAAAAGTGCCTGAGTGGATTGACAGCGTATTTTTCGCTGCAGTCTGGAGGATGGAGGTCAAAACAAACAAACAAATAGGATTAGCGTTTGCAAGCTGACAACCGGTAAAAGCTTCTGGCAAAACAGCCTGCCGCACACAGACTGGAACGGAACCTGCAACTGGGTCAGCAGGTTCAAGAAACCGCCACCACCAGGTGACTGCAGCTAAGCTATTACCATATAGTATACGTGCAAACACTTACATTAACCAAAGGCGATAAGATGATGGCGGTGAAGAGAATTGAGAGTGAAGTTTCCGATGTGATGGCAAATGCGCGAGTGAGGCCAGCCCCCTCACTCTACAATCAAGTACCTTTGAAGTCGAGTGGCAACACATCGGAGACGCGACCACAGGCGTCGTACGTCACCTTTTTTGTCCATCAGACCATAGAAGAGTCGGTTTGCCAAAATAGATTGATAAAATACACAAAACGTTTACTATTTTATTTTATGGCTTGACCCATCTGATGGGTTTCTACCGGCAGATGCTATCGTAATCGGTGAATCGGCCTGAGGGTGAGGAAAACACTCCAGTTGGGTGTTCTCTTCGTTGCCATCCGCTTCTGTTCCTGCGCAATCTGACTCTTCGCCATCACTACGAGAGCACGAACATGGCGCCAATGTGACCCATGCTGCAACTCAGGGCTCGTGATTGCGACGGCACGACCCAGAAATCATCCGCTTCTCAAGCAGAATGGGTTGTGGTTTTATGATGGCTAGAATCTATGTAGCCGCTAGATGATTTGATTCGACCTCGAGCATTGCAACAAAATGTTTTGCAACATACGGTACCCAGCTCAAGTGCTGTATTTTCGTCCGAGCAGAGTTTCCTACACCCAACACCTTGCCTGGTATTTTGCGCAACAGCCTGTCCGTCGTCGTCTGGTCATGATTCCAGTGCGGGGGTCGAAGTGCTTTTTGTCGCTGGTGCCGACTGGGTCAACTCTCAATCGTAATATAACGCTCGTTGCTTTTTGAAAAATAAATTACACAGTTAGATCGCCGTTTCGCCCGGTAATAATCTCGAAAAATACAAATTGACCGACCACTTCAACATGCGGACCTCGAAGCAGAGCCGCGACGGCAAGTTGTCAGACCGTGGCGCCGTCGGCTCTCACGCCGTGTTCGCGATGGCGTTTGGTGGTGTAACGGGGCACATGGCTTTCACGCTTGCCAGCGGGGCAGGCGTGCCGCTCGCTCGTCCGCTTGAAGACTTGGAGCCGCAGCTTGGCGGTGCACAGGCATTGCCAATCTCGGCACCTGCTGCAGCCGAAGCTTCGGAGCGAAACTGGTGGATATGGTAATTCTTTCGCCGCTGCGCTGGGGCACAAGTCTCTGCAAGCGCGCGAAGAGCGTTGCGGGGGACTTGCTTTGCGACACCCTGGAGCCACGGTGGCCACCTGCTTGGATACAGAGGCATGATGCCACGCAGCACGTGCGTCCAAGAGAGATCATACATGTATCGGCGCCTCGACTGTGGAACGCTCATCAGTCAAGCGTCCACCACGATGGGGCAACTCCATTTTCCAATTTGGACCACACGCTTGACAGCGGGCGATCAGACTCCGCTGGTAGGACGTACAGTACAGGGACAGCCGTCGCTATGCTGAACTGTCGACGCCGGTTCTCAGCTTTGTCTCCAACAATCGACAGGGATCGGCTCATTGTGAGTGAGTGTTTTCATACATGTATCCCGTCTTCATCGTCGCATTGTTGTTAGAGAAGAGAAGCCATGACACGATGTCACCACGACACATCGTCTTCATGGGCCTAGTCACAGGAACCGCTCCAGTGATCCTGTAAAGGCCCCCAATGTATGTACTATCGTGGAGAAGACACACAAAACACCGCTGCAAAAGACTCACAACATGGGAGTATTAATACTGTACGTTCACTCAAGAGAGCCATGAGTCAACTTCAAGTTGCCTGTCGTACTTTCATTAATGCTCCGACTGTCTTGCTTAGACGCTGACTGCCCAGCTCTTTCCTGATCTTGTCTTGGCTTTTGCCTGCGTTTCTTCCTCTTTCCTCCACTTTTCCTCCTCTAGTTGCTTCAATCGTTCCTGTTCCTGTTTAAACTGCTCCAACTCCGCTGTGGCTTCCGGGTGGAAGTGGCAAACATCTTCAAAGATAAGTCGTCGCAATGTGTTCTTGTCCAAGTTGCCTTTGTGCTCTCGTTCGAACGAAAAGTCAAACGCGCTATCTGCCAGACGCTCCGAGTCCATCTCAACGCCATCCGCTCGACAAGGGGCCAGGAACGGGTGGCCAAGGGCTTCGTCTACTGAGATTCGCTTGCGAGGGTCGAACTGCAGTAGCTTGGTCATCAAATCCAGAGCTTCAGTGGGGGCATTCGGACACACCGTGTTCAGAGGCTTAGCCTCGTGTTGTTGCTGACGTGCCATCCAGCGCTTGGCCTTCATGTTGGTGACAAACCCCATGTCGTTCGGTGGCGGACTGCCTACAAGTTGCAGGATCAAATGCAACTGATGTACGTGGTCATGTCCTGGGAAGAGCGCTTTACGCGTAAACATCTCGGCTAAGATACAGCCCACCGCCCAGAGATCAATCGCCGTAGAGTACCGACTAGCAAGTAGAAGCTCCGGGGCTCGATACCAGCGTGTCACCACATACTCTGTCAATGCTTCGTCCAATGACGGCTCGCCATCTTGACTACTAGGCGTCGTGTTCCCGTCTGAACTACTTGGTGTACCTGGACGGATGTCAATGCCTCGTGCCAGTCCAAAGTCACAGAGTTTAACTAAGCAGTCGCGATTAATCAGCACGTTCGACGGCTTGACATCGCGATGGACGATGTGAGCCGAGTGGACGTAGCGTAGACCACATAGCAATTGGTACGTGATAAAGGCAATGTGATCACTCGAAAGCGGCTCGGGAGAGTTGATGACGCGATGTAAATCCGTCTCCATGAGGTCTGTGACGATGTACGTGTCCTCGAACGTGACGAGTAAGGGAGGACGCATCACGTCCAGCACCGACACAACGTGAGGATGACGCAGATGCCGCATGAGTCGGATCTCACGCACTATCCTTTTGGCATCCACCAGATCATCGAACGTACGCGGGATGTTCTTGATAGCCACCGAGTTGCCAGTCACTTGGTCGCTAGCTGCAATCACCACTCCGTACGCGCCGTGGCCGATGGCTCGAATCAACTGGTATCTCCTGTACACACGGAACTTGGTGGACGCCACCGTGAACGTGTACATTTCTTCCTCTTCGGACGACGAGTTCTTGTCCTGTTTGTCAACACCATCCGCCTCCACGAGCTCAAATCCGCCAGGTCCGTCACTTGCTGCAAGTGAAAAGCGTTCCGACACTCGTCGGTTCTGACCTGTCTCCTTGTGTAGCTCCTGTAGTCGATCAAAGCTCTTGCGATGTCTCGGTGTTCGTCCTTGGATCGGTGTACTACTACCAGAGTGTTCTCCTTCCTCACTCATACTCACATCGTCATCTTCGCCCATTGAATCGTCTTCCTCTGTATACGGTGCAAAGCTGATACTAAGCTCCAGACGTCCACAGCTTTGGGATTCTCCAGCTCGTGTACCTTTCTCAAACGTCTCTGCGCGATAGATGTCAAACCACTTGGGTACCGCCACAGACGCGATCTGCTCTTCAGTGCCCTCGGACGACCCCAAATAATCCGCCAAGTTCACTTTAGCACAGCCAACTAGTTCGTCTCCAAGCACACCTAAGCTCCACACATCGATACACAGACTTGCTGTTGAGCCAGGAACAGCGCCAGAGAACTCCAAGTGCAACGTCTCAGCCCAGAATGGTCCTTTACCGCCACTGCTCTTCACCACACGCGTCGAATACGCCTTCCACGAGCCAACACGACTCAACCCGTCCGTACTGGTAGTCGTCACGTCTCTGCTACTCGTGCTGCTTGTGTTTTTCGAAGCTGGGACTTTTGTCGTGAGGTGTGGGAACTCGTTTAGCCCAATGATAATCTTGTATCCACTGCCGCCACTTGTCGTGGGTTTTCGTCTCCTCAAGCTCTCGCCAGATATACAAACCACACGAATCTCCCCGGGTGGACACGTACTGGCTTGTTGTTCCCGTTCGCGTGGAAGAGCAGCCAGCGTCGGGCCTGTAGCCTCGCCCATCACTGGACCGGCGCCACTACCTCCGCCATATGCGAACGCTACAGCAGCTGCCGTCTTGTCCGCTAGAATATTAATATGACTGATACGTCCGTCGGCTTCAAAGCGCAGCTCATGTTTCCACAAGTGTCGAAAGCGTCGTCCACTCTCGGCACTTCGTATCGTCTCTCGACCAGAGACCACAGCCAGATCTCCTCGACGTGCCACATGCTCGACGCCATAGTGCGATACGTCCATCGAGCCATGTAAGTTGGAAAAGAACGCCAGCACGCCAGAAAGCCCGTGATACTCGCCTGCAATAGGAACGCTAGGAGGATAATTCGACGTCAACGTGATGTTGGGGTGGAAACTCGGCATCAGCAACGCGAAGTTGCCTTTCCGTGCTTGAATACAGCCCCAAGCGTCGTAGAACATGTTTAATTCCACACTCACAGACGTTCCTAGTAGTGTTAGCGTCTGTATCCTCGGTCGTCGTGGGGTAGATAGCGGTAGAGTCTTCCGTGGGGACGTGTCAATTTTTGAACCCATTGTCTTGAGTCTCCGCTGTGCCTTTGGCAACACATTCTGTACCTGTTCTACTACTGCACCGAGTAGATGAATCCACAATACTCTCTCCAACTCACTGTCCACTGTGAGGTGGAGCGACTTGCTCTTCTCCTTGGTTTTAACGTAGAAGCCGTGGGGACGTCCCACGTTCTCTTTCTCCACATATGTGACTGTGTAGCTATGCTTCTTGTCGCTTACTACT